CAAATCCCATTTCCTCTTGCAAGGCTTGTCATGGTTGAACTCTTCCTCACACTAGCATTCTTTGGTCTCTCTTCCCAAGGTCACCACCCTGGGGCAGAAACAAAGAATACCCTTGCCCTTCCCAGCATCCTGGAGGAAGATAGAAATGCACAAAGAGCAACAGTGAGCAGGGCCCCACCCCAGGGAAGAGGAAAACCAGGAAAGACTGCTGTGTGTTTATGAACTTCAGGGGCAGCTGCTTCCTCTCCAGAGCCCACAGCCATGGCAGCCTAGCCCTCCTTTGACCCCTCCCAGAACCTCCTTTTTTTTTCCCCCATCTGTTAGCAGACCAGCAAGGAGGTTATGCAGGTTGTTAGTAGACAGGAAATGAACTGATGTCCAGTGGCTGGGTGAGTCCAACTGTAGAGTGTGCATCTTTGATAGGGTGATTTTAGGGGTATACAGGTGGTAAGAGAGCTATGAGGGCCAACAAATGCCTGTATTTGTATCTGTCTCTGCCAGCCCGTGTGCCTGGAGTTCTGAATTCTGCAAATGAGAAAGGCTGGATGTCTAGATACTTCTGAGTCTGTCTGGGCTGTGGATCATGGAATGGCCATGTCTGCGCACTGGTAGGTGCACAGCTCTGTCAGGCCTCAAGCACCCGTGCCTTTGTGCTGAGTCGATGGTGTAAGCTTTCTGTCTCATCACGTTCCTCTGTCTTCCTCTTCTGGAAGGGGTTCAATTAGTGAGCAATGGGAGAGGAAACTGGACCTGCTCCCCTTGAGCACGTGACTTTTGTCTAGACAAGTCTGCTCACTATGACAACACTAGCCTCCACAGACGGGGGGGGGGGGGGGGGGGGGGGGGGGGAGGGGAAGCATTGGACTGTCATAGCTAGTTGCTCAAGGTTCTACAGGGACTGAAGCAACTCCAGGGCAGGCTTTAAGGGCAGTACTTGATCCCCAAAGACAGGGCACTCTGACATGCTTTGCAGGGAGATGTTCCCACCAGAGAACACAGGCCTATCTCAACTCTATAAAGTCAGTGCTAAAATCTCTATGCTGAAAGGTCATGGAAATGGAGAGCCTCTAATTACAAGTAGATGAGGAAACTAGGCTCAGAGGGGAAGTATCTCATTGAAGCCACAGACAACTCATCGTTCATGATTTCCCCAGTGCTTATCAAGCACTTGATGTATGTTGGCCACCTTACGGGCACAGAGACTAAACAGAAAATTAAGCTATGGATTTTGTTATTGATGTATCCACAATCTAGTTGGGGTAAGAGATGTATGAGCAGGGAACTGTCAGAATATGCCAAAAAACCATGAAAGAAGTTCTAATGTCCTTGGGAACATTAGAAGAATGTTGGACAATCCTGGGTTCAGGGTCTAGGGAATGTGTGGTGAGTTGAGCAATGGCTCCTCAGAGATGGGAACATCTTACTCTCTAGTACTTGCAAGGTTTTTATTTGACAAACCAGACTCTGCAGATATTAAGGATCTTAAGACAGACAGATGACCTTGGGCTATCAATGTAATCACAGAACCTTTAGGAGGAGGCAGAGGGATCAGAATCACAAGGGTTGTGACAATAAAAATGGAGACCAGAGCAGTATGAAAGGTCTGAAGATTCTATGCTGCTGGATTTGAAGATGGTAAAGGGGTCATGAGCTAAGGAATGCTGGTAACACCAGAAAGTTGCAAAAGGCATAGGCAATGGATTCACCCAATAGCCTCTACCTGGAACACAGCCTTGCCAACACCTGTGAGATCCATTTCCCAGTTCTGACTTAAAAAGCATCAGAAAACAAAGATGATCTGGCTCTAAACAACTGAATTGATGGCAATTTATGACTGCAGCCACAGGCAACTAATACACAAAGTTTTACTAGAGATGAAGTGAAGCTACACTGTACTCTATGCCAAGCTCTGCTCCGGCAACAGGAGGCCACCAAGGAGCAGCTCAAGAGGTTTACGGGCAGAGCAGGAAGTGGGTGGGTACTGGGTATGTTGGTACCCTGTGGCTTTTTTTTTTTTTGTAACATTCCATACTTAGCCTTTCTCCAACTTCTTGACCTCACAGGATGTTTCTGTGATTCAAGAACCATTCAATACAGCCACATCTACAGAACAAAGGAACATGTGGCTTTCCCTGGGGATAGCCATCCTCTGCCACGTGACACTAGCACAACAGAGGATAGAGGCTGTGGCAGGGAGCACAAGATGATCCAGATGCTGATCAAGCTGAAAAGTAGAGGCAGAGAACTTCCATCCTTCTTACAGCTCCCCTTTCTGGGAAGGAGCATCCTCAAAAGATAGCTTCTTGGTCACATATCTCCCCCTGAACCATCATCTCTGGTTTAACCCAGAGGCCTGAGCTTCACCAGGCAATTGAATCTAGGCATTCCTCAACGGGAAAAGATATTCTGCCTTCCCCTCTCTCTGCAGAGCCGACGCAGCCTCCAGGCATTCTGCCTCTCAAATAGTTTAAGGAAACTGGATCATTCCGTGTTGTGATTCCAAACCAACTGGGACCATGAGGTGTTGCTGTGCACAAGGCTGAGTGTTAAGTCTTTAGAGAAAAATTATAAGTGAGTTCCAGTCCATACTGTTCTCAGCAATATGGGGCAAAAGATAGGGAAAGATATTCATCAGCTCATCCGAAATTATCTCAACTTTGTACACACAGGTTTTGAGACTCAAAATGAGGACTGGATCAGCCCAAAGGTTGGGAAGGTCCCAGCGATACACTTAAATGACACCCTCGAAGCAGCTGTCTATGCAGCTGATGCCTTCATTTAAGTCTGGATGGCCTGGCTTAGTGACCACCTCTTCCTGCCAAGCACACAGGACATGGTGGAATCATTTCAATCCTGGGAGTAGCTGTCTACTTGCTCTTTGGCCTTGGCTGACTTAAATCCTGTCCCTGAGTCTGAGTTACCTCATCTATGAGATGCCGTGATGGAGCTAAAAGAAGACAAAGGTTACAAAGGACCTAGCAAGGGGCCAGCAGACAGTAGGTGCTTCACAAAGCAGGATCAAATTCCTGTGCCCATGCTACTATTGACAAGAGCCAAACAGGATAAAAGTCAGACCCTCTCACTTCCCTTCTTAAAAAATAAGCCTTGGTGCTCTGGAATAGTCTGTCTAATTGTTCATGGCCAGTGCTCTAGAATATAAAAGAGGGGAAGGCTGGGAATGATCCCCACACCTTTTAATTTTTTTAATTGGGAGTACAGGAGACTCCAATTAGGGCAGTGGCGCCATGGCGAAGGAAACTCAGTAGCAGGCCTGCAAGGGCTGCCCTCCTGCTGAGCACAAAGCAATGAAGGAAGGACACAGGCAGCAAAGGGTTACCCTTCCACGCAAGGGTCCACCCTTACTGTCACTCCACATTAAAGAGCCAGGCACCAGAGGACAAGCTTGACACGGACAGCTGTTTTCATGAACGGTTTGCTCCCCTAATTTTTTCTCCCTTCTCTCTTCAGTTAGATAGATAGACATAAAGAAAAGAGAAAGGAAAGAAGGAAGAGAGAAAAGGAAAAAAGGGAGGAAGGGAAGAGAAGGAGGGGAGGAGGAAGAAAGAAAGAAAAAAGCAAGAGATGAAGATAAGCAGTCTTGATAGTTATCAGGACAGTAGTCTGTTTGGCTTCCCCTTCAAGGCTGCAGGCTACTCAGGTTCTGCTTTCCTCTGTTTGTCCACTCTGAGCTTCTGGGCGCACTCTCTGCCTCACAGGGCTATATACTATTAAGCCCTGCCCACTCCCTGAAGCTCCTAGTCCTAGGGTCTATACAGTCCTTCAATGCTGTACTTTGTGTACTTGGCCTGGTTGTATATGCAGCCTGAATGGAATTTCCTTGGGAGCAAGGGCTGAGGCTTATTGATCCCTAGGTCTTCAAGAGAATGCTCCCTACAGGGACCCTAAAAAAGGTTAGATTAAGTCATGACTTTTTTTTTTTTTTTTTTTTTTTGCTTGTCAAGCACATACTCGCTCCCCCAGAGCTCAGGTCCCTGAGAAGCTGTGGTAAGACAGGGGGAGTAATACATGCACATGGTCGACAATGCAACATGGAGGGGCAGGTATTATGACAGAGGAGTAGAGACCACATCCAGGTTTAGAAATGAGGGCTGGCAATCAGAGGGTTTAGATCTCTCTGTTGTTTGTGATCCTTACTGGGAAGGAGGAAGGACAATACAACCTCCATGTGTATTGCCACTATTTTCAGGGCCTCTGGCTGGCCTGGGAGAACTCCTGAGGCGGGCCTAGGAAGACACAATATAATATTCAAATAGGTGCCTAGTTATGGTTGCTGAAGAAGCCTACCAAAATGTTCCTTGGGCAGGAGAAGCAGAGTTTACTGAAGGAGGCTCTGAGAGATAGAATGTCCTATCTTTATTGTGCTTACTAAGAGGCTTCAGGAAGAATGACAAAAGGGGAGTATATTCATTTTTAGGGATAACAGTCCCTAGCCAAGTCCCTCGTGAACTGAATGAGGCTTTTGGTCTGGGGAGAGTTTAGTCTTCAGCAACGCTGCTCTAGCCAGCACTGACCACAAGCCCCAGGGGTCACACGGATAGGGGGACATTTTCTAAGACGCAGAACAGCTCAACTGTTTTGTGTCTGTGAATCAAGAGACTCCAACTTTGCCAATCACTTCATAGGTGACCTTGGGCAATATTTTGGCTTGACCGTCCTCATAATGCAGATAATCTGGACAATACCTAAGGTCTCTTCCACTCATAAAATTCTATGTACCCAAACCTCCAGTGTTTGTGAAGAGAATTTCAGAGCCCGTAGAATATGCACAGGCTGGAAGGAAGGAGGAGTTGTTCTAGTTACTGAGCAGGGATGGGGTAGGGAGTGTTTTTTTGGGGGAGGGGGCAAAGAGGGGGAAGGATGGTTCTTCGGACACTGGGAAGAGAGCAGGAATGAGGAGCTCCGGATTTAGTCACCCAGCTGGAAACTTTTAACAAGCAACAGTTCCTTTGCTTTCATGTGGAGGACAAGAGGCTACTTACTATGCAGCAGGCCACTAGGGCTCCTTGAACAAATCCTGCCAGTACATCACCGGGATGGTGCTTGTGGTCAGATATGCGGGACAGTCCTGTGTAGAAGGCCATCATGAGCAAGGTGAACTGTAGGAGGGGCCGGAGCAGGCGGGCGCCTTTCCAGGTAAAGCGAGCCTGCAGGTATAGCTGGAGGGAGGAGACAAAATGGACAGACACTAAATAACTCCTCAGTCATGGACACCATACAGACAACGTTCCTCACTTTTGCTGGGTGGAACCATCCAGACCCTAGGTGGCATGGTGTGGATATAATGGCATCCATTTTGGACATGACCACCACCCTCCTTCCCCCACCCCCAGTCAGTTAAATGCCATGGTTTAGTTTTCATATCAACCCCCAGGGAAACAGAATTTGCCTTAGAATTCAAACTGGAGAGAGTTGGGAAAGACAATAAGACATAAAATGGTTTTCATACTCTTTTGGCACATAGTATGCAGGCACTTTATAATAATTTTTAACTTATTGACTAGGATTATGCTGGAGTAACCAAGAGCAGTAAAAGCTTTGCTTTGTAATTGATAACCCACTCGATACCTTTGTGAGTCTCTATGGGGTTTATAGACCCACCATCTCCACAGGACCTGCTGCTCACCATTACACAGAACTAATATAGACAACAACGAAGGGGAGATACTGAGATATTCACCATGCGATGCTCCTGTTTCAAAAGAAAGCCATGTTGCCAAGTACTGGTGGCTCATGCCTGTAATCATAACCACTCAGGAGGCTTACATATGAGGATCATGGTTCAAAGTCAACCTGGGCAGAAACATCCATGAGACTCTTAACTCCAATTAGCTACCAGATATACAGCCCAGCAGTAGAACTATGGCTGAAGTAGAATAGCAGCCTGGAGCAAAAAAGCCAAGTGAGAGCCCTAATACTGGCATACTCAAGAAGAAGCAACACCTTGAAGGGCAAGTTTCAAAGTCACCCTCTCTGGCTTTTGAATTAGTAAGGAAACACACACACACCAGCCAGACAATGCCAGAGAACTCCCAAGTAGAGGCTGATAGACACTTGCATGGGGTGGAGTCTAAGAGTAACCTGATGAAAAAAGGAAGAAGAAGAAGAAAAAAAATCCAATCACCTCTGTCTGTAGGCAAGAAGTTGAAATGACGTCAACTGGGTATTGTCCCCTCTGAGTTATCTTGGGAGAGTTTCCTTTCTAACCTCTGGGCACAACCTACTTGGCAGGTTCCTGTGGGAACTTGGGAAATGAGGGGGAAGCAGCAAGGGGACAGGGGGAACTTCCGACTACAAATCAAAGTACTGGGAGAGGCTAGGAAAAAGGGAAAGAGCAGAGGGAGGGGCTCCTGCTCCAAGACAGACAAGTGTCAGGACCCTGCCCTTCCTGAGACAAATGAACACCTTCCTTTCAGTGAGCAGGAGAAACATGCCAAGGACCAGATCTGAGGGAACAGAAGATTCCAGAAGAACTCTGAACTCTGTAAGAGCAGTGTCCACGACGGAATCCTCAACTACTTGGGATAAAAAGACTTGTTTACCAAGCCTATTCTTAATTACTTACTTAATTTATTCTGTAAAAACAATCATGGTCTTTAAACATATTCACTACTTTTACAGTATACCTACCTAATGAATCACATTGGAAAATATTGCTGCAGGTAATGGCGAAAAACTTGATAGTTTTTAAGCAAGGCACGGGGGTACTATAAAAACTAATTGTTTTTTGTTTTTTTTAAGAGCATAGCTGGGTCACTAAAAGCAACAGAGAATCTGGAGCTATAGACCTAAGGCTACATTCTTCTTTCTGATGAAATATCTCCTAGAAAACTGTTGACATGGATCCAATAATTCCTTACTTTTAGTGAGGATGCTGGTCTAGCTCCAACTCAGCTCAGGAAGGACCCGTCTATGCCCAATTCCTGTAGCTACTCCTGGCAGTTAGAGGGGAGTGAAGTGGATAACAGACACAGGTTTTAATCAGAAAACTCTCTGTGTGTCTCAGTTTCCTCAACCGTAAAAAGAGGTATCATGACTATCAGAGGCTATGGTGGGGATTGGTTGATGCCGGAGAAGACACAGGACAATGTGTGACTCAGTAAGCCAATCATTTTGTTTTATGACACCTCTCTTAAAGTAGCTGCAATGTTTTCCTATTTTTCTCATTTAAAAAAGCTCAGGTTGTCAGACAATACTTGTTCAAAACTCCCCTGCCCTTCCTCCAACTCAAGGCATGTAGACTTTTAGGTTGCAGGCCTCAGAGACCAGGGTCGGGCAAAGGAAGGGTGGGTCTCCCAACCGGACAAGGCCCACTTCAAGCTACTGACTCAGATTCTTCAGGCTAGGAGCTCCATGAAGGAAAACCCTCCCACAGGAACAGGAGGCATCAGAATAGCACCAGGAAGGGAGGGAGGGAGTACTTATGAATGAGAAAGGAGTAGGGGCCATGGGAAAGAATTCCTTTGGGAAGTAATCACACTGGGAATGGAAACGGGCAGATACATGCAGTTGCTCCCCCATAATCCATGGAGCAATGCCTTGGGTCAAGATGGATGCTGGCACCCACAGCTGAGATGACCCCTCTCCCTTGATCAGTGTACTTTACTTAGAACTATGGCAATTTCGTCATGTCAAGTACATTACTAAAGAAGGAGGTTGTGCAATGGCCTTTGACCCAGTGGCCATCTGACGCAGTGGCAGTAAGTAGACTTTGAGGCAGAGGGGAGAATCTGCTAATCCTTTCTGTATATACTGGTTCACTGCCGAGAGGGAATCAGGCAGGCTCCTCTATTGCTCCAGCAGGGACACAGGGGCCTCAAGAGGATCCCAGAATACTCTGGAGTCTGCAGACAATAACTTTGGCAGGTTCCAGTCCTTCCCAAGACCAGGGGAAGACCAACCTACTCAGTATGAGAGAGGTTTCAACAGGAGGCCCCAGGCATCTAAAGGTGCAGGGCAGGCAAGGCTGGTGACCAAGCTAGACAAAAGCAGAAAACCTAAGTCACCCTGACCTCTCATAGTCACAGTCTGCTCCTGACACCCTGTCCTATCTGTGTCGACTTCTCTTTGGGCCACTGTAGAGATGTGTTTCACCCTGTCTCAGAAACTAGGTTAGAATCCTTTTGGCTGTACACCAGCTTATAGCCATGGACAAGTCACTCCACTTCTCTGGCTTTCTATTTTCTCACAACAGATTATAAAGGTTTATTTTATTATTTTTTATTATTTTAATATTATGTTCCTGTTTTGTTCATTGTGTTGTACTGGGGCTTGAACTTGGGTACTGTCCCTTAGCTCCCATAAGACCAATGCTCTACCACTTGAGCCACAGCTCCATTACAGCTTTCTGGTAATTAATTGGAAATAGGAGTCTATTTATAAACTTTGTTACCAAGGCTGGTTTGGAATCTTTTTCTTTTCTTTTCTTTTTTTTTCTCATTGGTCATGGGGCTTGAACTCAGGGCCTGGGCGCTATCCCTCAGCGAGCACTCTACCACTTGAGCCACAGTGCCACTTCCGTTTTTTTTTTTCTGAGTGGTTTACTGGAGATAAGAGTCTCTCAGTTTTCTGCTGGGGCTGGCTTTGAACCACAATCCTCAGATCTCAGCCTCCTAAAGTAGCATGGATGACAGGCATCAGCCACTGAAGCCTGGCTACTGGTTTTGAATCTTGATCGTGAGATTTTAGCCTCTTGAGTAGCTAGGACTATAGGCATGAGCCACCAGAGCCTGGCAATTTTATCTTTAAAAAATGTTGCAAACATCTATTATATTCAATACTCCAAAGGACACATGAATAAAGTAAGTTTTGTCACAAAAAAAAGAAATAATAATAATCTTATAGCCCTTTTCTCTTCAAAGAGTTTGTCTTCCAGTTGTTAAAATAGAACTGTGTAGGTAACAATGATTTCAATAAAAAGGTAGATGTCTTCCTCCCCTGTCTCAAAATGTTGTATATGAGAGTCCTTGCCATACAGAAACTGCTCCATAAACAAGCTCTCGTCTCTTACTTGGCCCTTACTGGGGTTTTGAAACATTGGAATTCCAACAAAACCTCCTTAGACTAAATTCAGAGCAGCTTACTGCTGCTCTGAACTAGTTAAGTTAGATATGTGTGTGTGTGTGTGTGTGTGTGTGTGTGTGTGTGTGTGTGTGTGTGACTCTCATTCTTGCTTAGTCATTTGTGTTTCATTACATGATTTGCATACTAGTGAAACAGGTCTGCACTGTCTTCTCACTCATTTCCATTGCTCTTGGGACAGGTGGGCTAAGACGGAAAAGGAGGCTTTTGTCCACTCTATGTCCCTGCCTACCCTCCTTCCTGGAAGCTGGTCCAGATCACCCACACCATTCCTGAGAGATTTTTTTCCCCTCTCTCAGTCTCCTCCATGGCTCCCTTCTGGCCCTGGCTCCCATCTATGCCTGGTGGCAGGCGACACAATGTCCACCTACAATTTTTCACTGTAGAGTTATGTAACCACTTTGTGAGAACAGAACAAGAATTCTTATTTGACTTCTTTTTCTTCCTTTACAGAAAACTAATCCTTTTGCCGATACTATTCTAGCCACTATGTTAGATGTTTTACCTTATGTTACTCACAGTATTCTTATTAGGTAGATATCAGCATGTCCACTTTACAGATGAAAAGATCAAGGCTAGAAGAAGCCACAGGAACACATAGCCAGGAATTATTTGCAAAATTTTCCCTTTTGTGTTTATTATCTACCTACAGAACTTCCTAGTCTCTGGAGGCAAAAAAAAACCTCTCTTTTACACCCACAGTAGTGGTCTCTTGTTCTGGTTTCTTCAGGAGCAAGGACATAGCAACAGGCTCCTCTGGTCACACATTTTGTAAGCATTTATTCATTCATGTACGCATTCATCCATACTGTTTTGGGAACCACGAGACAAAAAGAAATCTTTGCCCTGTTGAACTTACACTTTAGATGGGGCAAACTTACACTTTAGATGGGGCAGACAAACAAGCAAATATATCAGATCCTTAGACACTGGGGGAGGGGCATGGCTACATAGGAGGTTGGACAGAAAGGATCAATGTGGAGGATGGGCTGTCATTTTCATCAGGATGGTCACAGACTGAAACAAAGGCAACAAGAAAAAGTGCAGACTTCTAAAGAGAAAGCCCTGCTTTGGGCAAGGCCTTGACTGCAACCTGTTGTGGCCTAATCTGAGTTGCAAAATGATATATAAGCAAAGACTAATGATCCTGAAGGTCAATGAACAACTCTCAAGTGTGCCTTCCCTGCTTCTTTTAGCTACCAAAGCAGTACTGAATGTAACTGTCTTCTTTTCACAGACACATGGGTAGTTCTTCCATCTCTCCTGTCTTCACATGCCGGACCCTACTGGAATCCTTCCCTGGCTCTGCCTCCCTCAGTTGTAGGCTAGCTTGGATGCTATTGTTCTAAGCATCCAGCATCTAACATTCCTCCCCACCCTTTTGTTCACAAGGTAATACCACCACTGTCTACTTGAGCCTATATCTAAATTCCCCAGAAACAGTGATCATGCCTTGCTTATGTCCATTTTCCCTTGCTGCTCCTGTTTGGTGTATAGAGCCCTCATTAAATACTTGCTGAGTGCTGAATGTTCATTGAAAACTCACTCCTCAGTGAGTTCCTTGAGGCAGGGCCCAAGTCTGATTCAGTTTAGCAGCCTTGGAGGTAGTAAGAGAACCTGGCCCCAAAGAAGAGACACCAGGTAAGTTGATGCCTGCCTTGATATTGACATTTTACCCAGACAGCCACATCACTCTTGATCTCGGAACAAGTAGTTGTACATCCAATCCAGATGTGGTTCTCTGGCATGAAGTGGTCCCCTGGGAAGTAGGCTGGGGTCAGAGGTACAAAATCCAGTTTATACTTACATATGCTGCAAGGTTTTTCTTATTAGAATTAACATTAATCTCTAACAAGCATAACCTCATCTTTAAGCTGCTGTGCCCAGAGCTAATTTAGTGTTTGGGGTGGTTTTTCCAAGCCACCTATTTTGTAAATCCAAGCCCAGTCTTCAGTGCCCTTTACAGCTGTAGAAGCTGCAGATGGCCACTGTGGCCAAACGGCCTAGAGTGGGGATGGCTAGTACTTCTGGTTGGCCACTGCCTTTGAACTCAATGGTAATACAGGCATATGTGTGTCCCCTGTGGCTTCCCATCTTCCTTTTCAAACAGTACCACAGAGATTGAGAGATAAGCAGACACCATCAAATCTCACTGTTTCATCTGATAGCTGGAGAAAGTGGGATACAGAGAAAAACCACCATGACAAACAGACATGATTGTCTCTACTGTACAGAGGAGTACCCTGAGACTCCTTAGTGAAGTGCCCTCTCATGCCCCGCAGCTCGTAATCCAAATCTTATTTCACACATGTCTGATTCTGAGGGCAAAAGTTGTCAGTGCTACACTTAGCTAGATCAAATGCAATCCCTCCCCACACTCCAGGAAAGCTGTGAATCACGGGTCACCTTAGCAAACGTGCTGGGGAAGACCACACTATATTTGCCCAACTTCATTCAGAACTTCCCTTAGCACAACATGAAAGCACTGGGGTGGAGGAGCCAAGGGATTCTCTGACTGACTGCAAGATTTCTCACCTTCTCCTAGGCAGCAAACTTTCTTCAGAACACTTTGCAAATAACACCTTTAAAGCAGTGAAGATTTCTGGGTAATACCTTTCTCTCTCTCTCTCTCTCTCTTTCTCTCTCTCTCTCTCTCTCTTTCTCCCTCTCTCACACACACATGCAGACACATATATGAAGAAAATCCTTGGAAAAGAGTACCAATATCCTTTTTTGTCTTTTGATGCATATTGTTTTAGGGAAAGATCACCTTAGAGGTAAAAACAGAGCTAGGTGTATAAGTCTGTATATGCAGGTCATTTACAAGTGGAATGTTGAATGAGTATATGCTTGCAAGAGTTCCAAAGAGCATGTGGTATATGTCTAAACAGAGCTGGAGTTTGTGTGTGGGCAATGATACATCTAGGAGATGAAAAATTAAGACGACTCTCCCTCTCTCTCTTTTTTCCCTCTTTCCCAATCCTTCCATTTCGCAATCCTCTCTCAGAAGCACAGATAAACCTCTAATAAAATATACTCCCTACTCACTCATTTGCAGAGATTCTTCGTTGCAATTTATAGTTGGAAAAGGAAGCGATGGTGTGAGGTGGGTAGGGTTGGGAGAGGTAGAGGGGACATTTCAACCACTAGAGCAGATCTGAAGAAAGTCAAGTCTTTTTCGATTGAAATTAAAAGCTTATATTCCCTAAGTGTATCCTGTAGAGGAAGGCTTGTCTGTTGATTGACTAACAATACTAGCTCAGCATACTGAAAAAAATCCACAGCAGACCTGGAGATACTGGCTGTATTATGTTGTTATTGAATATCTTTCATCCAAGTTCATTTGTTTCCAGAAGCAGGATAATAAAAACCCATCTCATCTGGCTACTGGAAGAAGAAATGACTTGGTGGTAGCTGTACACAGGACCTGGTACATGTCAGAAACCCCAAACATTTTAGCATCTTCACTGTAAAGGACATCCTTCCCAATGTTGGCTATAAAAATATCCAGTATTGGCAGGCGCTGGTGGCTCATGCTTGTAATCCTAGCTACTCAGGAGGCTGAGAACTGAGGATCGTGGTTCAAAGCCAGCCCTGGCAAGAAAGACTATGAAATTCCTATCTCCAATAAACCACCAGAAAACCAGAAGTGGTGCTGTGGCTCAAGTGGTAGAGCGCTATCCTTGAGCTAAAGAGCTGAGGGACAGAGTTCAAGCCCTATGACAAAAAAAAAAAAAAAAAAAAAATCCAGTATTGCTGGGTGCCAGTGGCTTGAAGCTATTTAGGAGGCTGAGATCTGAGGAGCTCAGTTCAAAGCCAGCCTGGGAAAAGTTTGTGAGACTTATCTCCGATTAATCACCAAAAAGCTTGAGTGGAAAAGCTAAGGGACAGCACTCAGGCCTTGAGTTCAAGCTCTAGTAGAAATGTGCATGCGTGCGCATGTGTGCACTTGACACCCCTCCCCCCATCTGATATTTATCTCTTGGACTAAAATAAAAGGACATGGAAAAAAAACCACATACCCAACTCTTTAAAGCATTTTTATAAAACACTGAAATTACTCTTGTAAAATTGCTTCCAGCCCTGGGCAGGAATCTAAATATCTTTTCTAAATTATCATTCCTAAGAGCAAAACCAAAAAAAAAAAAAAAATCAAATGAGGTACTACTGGCGAGTAAATACAACATAGGACCCAGGCAGAATGCTCGTATAGGTTGAGGCCCACCTTTTAGCTTTGCGCCCTAGGTAACCAACAGGAAGCCAGAGGCCTCCAAACTTGGAAAGGACTGGGGAAAAAGCAAAACAAAACAACCTCTCTGTTGGTTTTTCCAATTCCTAATTATGTTTTTTAAATGAGTTGCAATGAAAACGTTCTTTTTCCAAACAGCTTATGCTCTTCTGAGCTATGTCTGACCTCTCCACACCTTCCAGCTCTGAACTCTGCAGAAGCAGCAAACACAGGAAGTGCTTTGGCACATGGACCTAATTCAAGGAGAGAGGAAAGGCAGGGACGACCAGGTTTAACTGACAAAGAAAAACACACTAACCCACTGTCTGTCAGGCAGCTGGAGGGGAGGAGGGCTCTCCATCTGCACTGTCAAAGCAACTCCAGGAAATCAGAGCAGACACAGCCACAGAAAGCGCAACCTGTGAATTCAAATCATGTTCCTCTACTAGCTGAAGGAACTCAAATATGCTCCTTAATGTCTGTGGCTCTTGGTCTCTGCATCCAAGCAACAGGGACAAGGACAAGTGTCCCTTAGGGATGTGTTTTTCAAGACTCAAAATCACTCTCAGTGTCCAGATGATTATTATCCTTAACATCCTTTCATCAGAAGAGTAGAGAGAACTGCTAGGGTGAACACTGTAGGAATTGGATCTGCAGTCTTCCATCTGAGCAGCAGTTCTGCTGCTTATACAAATCTATTCAGTTCACTCAGATTCTCTGAGCGCTAAGTAGTCATCTTTTCCCACAACACTCAGGCTATTATTCATAACACAAGGCTATCCTAAGGATCACTGAGTACATGAATTTTTCAGAAAGCAGTGCAAGTACCATAAAGGCCCAAATGTCACTTTCTAATTTCACGATCCTTATCAATCAGCATGATATATACTATTTTCATTCGAAAGACAGAAAAGGCCTGGAAAGCAAAAACAGGTCTGCTAAGCCAATGGCAGAACTCAGAATGAAAAGCAGCTTTCATCATTGACCTCTTCTGCAAGGATTTCACAGTGAAATCTACTCTTAACTATTCTAAGGGACTCAAGCTGTGACTAGACTGTGTTGGCACCAGAAAGCAAGTACTTACCACCAGATACAGCATAGTGTACATGGAGAAGGAGGCGTGGCCAGAGAAGAAGGACTTCCTGTAAGAGCAAGAGCATGCCATGAAAAGGCCATATTCACATCCCTGATATTCCCTCATCTGTCTGCCTTCCCTCTCTACACTGTGACCTTGACAACAGCCACTGTGTATTCCTCATTTAAGCATTCTACTTGGTAATGTTTTGGAGGCATGCATACGTAAACAAAAGAATGGGTGGGTGACTGGACTTACCAGTGCTATGCCATAAGGCTTTATTTAGATAGCTGTCTCGTGAATTCTTCGAGAAGAGGGCCTATACCTCATCTAAATTAGAGCCCAGCACTAAGCCTGACACCTCGTAGGTGCTCCGTCAGCGCTCACTGAACTGCCCTATTATGGCCATGAGGAAGTGGCATCTCACCGAGCTTCCTGCACTTTGCTGTCTTCGCCTCTGCACCTGTAGTTCTGAATGTAGCCCTCAGAGCAGTTGATCTGGTTAAAATCAGGGTTGCAGACACTCAGGAAGTGAGGACGCAGGCGCCCGATGGACACTTTGGCAATGTCTGTGAAGGACTGGCTGATGGCACAGCCAAAGAGGAAGCAGCCCACTTGCTTGTAGAGGGCAGCCACGTAGGGATTCTGAATGGTCGACCTGGACTTCTCCTTCAGGTAGTAGATCCGGTAGAATTCCCCTGTGATAATCTGAAAAGAAACCAATAAAGAAATTAGGCAGGATTACCACCCACTGTCATAACTAATGTTGCAAAGGACACTTAAGCGACACAGGTAAATATTCAGTATTTAAGTCCAGGTTATAATCTTACAAAATCCCAATTTTCTATGCAAGAAATATGAAGACACAAATACGCAAGGAAGGAATAAGCCAAGAGAGAATAAACACAGTCATCATTTCCTTTTTGTGTGTGTGTATGTGTTAGTCGTGGGGCCTGAACTCTGGGCCTGGGCACTATCCCTCAGCTCTTCAGCTCAAGGCTAACGCTCTACTACTTGAGCCACAGCGCCACTTCCAACTTTTTCTGCTTATGTGGTGCTGAGGAATTGAACCCAGGGCCTTACACATGCGAGGCAAGCGCTCTACCACTGAGCCACCTTCCCAGCCTCATCATTTCTTTTCTTTAAGAAAGCCTAACATAGCCCTGCAATACCCTTGGAACAAGAAAAAATGTACATGGAGTTTATATATATGAGACACAAATAAGCCCTTAGCTACTGAGAAATGCAGATGAACAACCACGTGCCAGTGGTTTATACTTGCAACCCAAGATACTCGGGAGGCTGAAGCAGGAAGATAACAAGTTTGAACAGCCTGGACTAAATAATGAGATTTGCCTCAAAAATGAAAATAATGAGACTTGTCTAAAAACGGAGAAATATTTAGTATGCTACCTGCAAAGTTTGGCATTTTCCAAGTCAGTCTGTGCTGTTTCCTCGAGTCCTGAAGGTCAGAGATGGAGTCTCACTTGGTCAGATCCTTGTCCTAGCTCATCATGTGTACTAGTGGCCTAATGGTTATCCATTAAGCTCAGGGCCAGTTGCTGCTTGGAAGGTGAATGTGGATGACGTCTACACGTATATATGTGTATACATGTCTACACACACACATAAACTCCATGTACACACCTCCTTGGCTGTGGTGATGCAATACCACACTGTCTGCCTTCCTTAACTCCACGATGCAGCAGTTGGGGCGACTTCCTGGTTACAACCACAGCCCAGAGACAGCGATGGTAAGCTCATCACTTACCACAAGGGTCCCTTTCACACTTCCTTCCAGGGAGGATGAGGAGCCACTTTCAGCGAGTAGACAATGTGTTTGTGACCACAAGGGAAGCAATAGATGGACACATCCGGACACATCTTTTTGGAGGCTCTATTACTACTTTACGGAGGGGGAAGACATCAAGGCAGGGGCCCTGACAAAGGTCCTCAAGGGAGAAAAGTTAGAGAAGCATGGTGTGTAGGATGGAATCACCAACTGGGTCCAGGGACAAGCAGGTACAGGAATGAGAACAGCTCCTACCATCACCAATGAGGACCGAGGTACCTGAGCTGGTAAATGTGATGCCTTTCTAAGTACCCCACTTGGTTTTCCGAGATCTTGTCAAGTATGATTCACAGAAGAAAGCTGTGGTCAAAAAGCAAAATATCCTGGCTCTGTCATTCCTTGAGAGAGCAGGTCTAATGTCTAACCCTGCACAGGTACACAGGGACTGTCACTGAAAGTGAATGGCAGGGAGCAGGGGAGGAGTCCTCAGAGTTGCCTCCTTGCAAAATTGGAAATATCCCCTAAACATTACCAAGGGCCCTTTGCTAACACATTGCAGAGATTAAAACCCGGGAAGCACAGCAAGTCAGAAATGAAAGAGGCCATTATATACAGGAGAAACTGAGATCCAAAATAACTCACATCTGAAGATTAGACCCAGGTGTACTGATGCCCCACCCAGCATTCTTTCCTACCATTCATGCTCTAATTCCCCTTTTGAACCTGTTTATACTTTCACCCTATGTAACCTTACAGGCTAACAGGTTCCAGATGTTTACTACCACAATCACCACGTGTTCTCCTGCTCTTCCTTATTCTGTATTTATAAATCATATTCACATGTTTTTATATGCAGGAGGAAGAACACTGAAAATAGGAGTCAAGTGGCCAGTTTGAGTCCTCAACTCATTGAGTGAACTGGGGACAAATCACATTCTCTATTTGCAAAATCATGGCCCCAGACGACATGATTTATTACTTCATAATTGCAAATGACATTTATTCCACCTCCACCACTAGCTTCCCAATCAAGCCAAGGTAAGATGTAAACAGCACAGGTAGTTAGTTATTTGTGAATAACACTGCAGGCAAGGAGCAGACCCAGGGCTTGCCTCTGGATTGCTCCTAAAAACCAGGATTGTTCTCAAAACCAGGACACTGCCTTAGATGAAACTAAGCACTGGCTTTAGCATCAATCCACATACCCCATTTGATGCTGATAAAGAATGCATGGGTTTCTATTGCAAATTAGTGTCTTATAAGAACTTACTGGAAACGTGCAGGTGAGTTATCTCTGTTTCAGTCTATAAGAAAGGGTTTGATTATAATGCAATGACTCTTAAACCCTTAATCTCCCTCCCTCTAAAATAGCCACCATCAGTAATGTCACCTTTAAATAATACAAGGTGAATTGAAATCCTCCCTTCTTTGTAAGGGAAGATAAAGAGTTAAAAAGAACACTTTATGATACCTCACATGGCTGGTGTTGACCTTAGGATGTTCTGGCAGGAAAGTCCGTGAGACTCTTATCTCTAATTAACCACTAAAAAGAAAAAGCAGGGCTGCAGTTGAAGTGGTAGAGGACCAGCCTTGAGCGAAAAAGCTAAGAGACAGTGCTAGGCCTTGAGTTCAAGCCCTAACACTGGCTCACACACATACACAAAAAAGGATATTTTTTATAGTTCATGTATGCATTATTAGTCTCATGTAGAATTGATAAGCCAGTTCTATACTTGGATTCCAAAGCTGGGGAGAACAGAAGGACAACAAGGAAAAAGCTAGGAAGTGACAGTTATGAGCAGAGTCCAGATACTCTGTCACTCAGGTTCACCATTGTTAGTAAAACCTTTTTTTTAAAATTTTATGGTAGAATAGCAATTGTGTATTTTCCAGCCTGAAGCCATTTAGCAGACACATGACTCCAGGACCACATGACTTCTGGGGCAACCTTGACAGATTTTGGAGTTAATGAGCAGCAAATTATGTATTTTCTCCATCTCCTTGTACAGAAGGGTCGAGGAGTCGACCACACAGCCATAAATCATCATTATGAACCAGCCGGACTTGGCTTCTTGTAATCCTAACCCTTAAAGGCCATTTAATGAGATTCAGGCGCTGAGAGACAGCCCAAAAGCCGCACCTCTAAAAGAGAGGCAAGGTCCTGAATTGTTCTCCCACAAGTTACACCCCTCGATCCGGAGTCCCAGATTTACTACTTTCGGACTTTATTCATTACACACAATGTTTTCATTCCTGGGCCATAAAATGAGCTTTTCCCTCTCCAGCCCCCTCCAAAGGCTGTGTCCTCCGCACCCCCTGGGCCTGCAGTTCTGCCTCAGTCAGCACGGTTCTGATATGTAAATTTCACTGCTGAGAAAAATGCCTTCCACGTTGATCCCCCTCTGAAACAGCTGGCGACAGATCTGGGGGTGATGGCAGGCTGCCAGGCAAGCAGAGAATTCTCCCCTACCTGCTTTCTAAAGAGCTTGGCACAGGGTCTGGAAACTCATAAAGAGGAAAGCATGGCAATTAAGCTACAAGGGGACAGTCCTAGCCTCCGAGCTAGTGAGCAGCCGCAGTGCTCTGGGGGGTTGGGGGGGGGGGGGTGTCTCCTTGCCCTTCCTGGTGGAAAGACAGTGCAACTGCCTACCTATTTACACAATATTTCTCTGTTCTGGAGAGAAAACGTTTGGAGAAACATTTGGATTGACTTTTTGGAAAGGATAGAAAATAAGACAGAGAAAGAAGCATCCAGCTGAAGGCCATAAAAAAAAAAAAAAAAAAAAAATCAGATTCCAGCTATTAACTTAAGTCAAGTGATTTCACCTGTCTAGGCCGAGGTGCATCTCTGGCCTACCCCCCTCTATCTATAATATCAGATTAATAATATTGCTGTGGTGGGACTGCAGGGAAATCTATAGGTGACACATAAAATGGCTGGAACTTGAAAAAAAGTCTGTGGATTAAAAAAACAAATCTTTCCATTGGAGAAAGGAAAAACAAAATTCTAACATACACTTTGTAGCAAGTATCTCTTCCAAGATCTCCTTGGAAGAGCACATTCCACATTGAAGACTTGGGAAATAAACCCCTCCGTGTAGAAGCAGAAAACTTGTGTGGGGATGATGCTGGTTTGCTCATTTCACTGACGATGTCTCAGAATAACAGAAGGAAAGAAACCTAAGGCAGAAAGGGCCACACTTTATTGTTTTATCTCATTTTAAACATCCCACACTATTTATATATTACCTCAGGAAAACTTGTATCCCAACAAACTCTCTTTCGGAGACTAAGATTCATCTTTCCCTAGTGAGTCTGGAAGGATAGACTTCCCTATGTTCCGTTCTGCCTTAATAAAAATATTTGCATAGCACTCTACAGTGCACAAAGCACTTTTACAACCATGTGTTGTTTCCTTCTCATAATATCCTATCAACTGTTCCGTTATTACCAACTCTTCATAATGAGTGGTGAAGGTCACATTGCCACCTTCCATCAAAAACAGTCATGACAGCTTGACAACACTGTTCCTGAAGCCCACCTCCTTGTCTCATTGTTCTAATTCCTTATTCTAAGCCCAGCAGGGAGCAGTATCTGGATCCCCAGAGACAGGCAGACAGTGCCTAGAGCATAAGCTCCCCCATCTGTAATCCTATAAGGCATTAGAATCATTTTTATTCAGAGTCCCAAGGGAAAAGAAATATACAATATATAATATATTATATAACATGTTATATTATATAATACATTATTATATATAATATATTATATATATATGCGCCTATCTGGATCCTGATCCTAAGGATGGAAACAGAAGTGTAGCGATCTATTTTCTGAAGCTTCAACAGCTGCAATGAAGTGAAGTCTCTTTATTAAGCAGGAAGAAGTGATTAAGAATTTAACCTTTGGTTCTTCT